ATGTGGTCTGGTTGTTTTCCCAAAAAACTTCCTCCTCTTCCCAACGCATTTTATTCACTATAACACACTGGGCCCCAGAATCAAATTATAGAGTGCTACTGAGAGGCAGATTCAGGTTCTCACAAGCTCTCCAACATTAGCTTACTCACATACACTTAAATGGGGGTCGATCAGAGTTTGAGCTAGACTTTTTTTTTTTCATTCATTCTTTCTTTTTATTCCAGAATTCCAGAACAACTACTTGACATATGTTTGAAATAGCAATTAAATAGCCAACATTTGAACAGAAATAAAACAAACACTGTGGCCTAACTACTTAATGTGACAATGACCTAAACACATAACTATGTGAAACAGAGAGGAAAGAATAAGGGAGTGATAGTGATGGAAACAGAGAACAGAACGACACAGAGCGACTGTTTCTGACTCTGGCTCTCTCAGCTCCAGTGCTCCGGTGTTACAGTGGGTCGACTAAACTCCTGTTTAAACAGACGCGTAACAGCGAATACGCCTCATCCTCTGCCGTGCTGTGTGATAGTCACTCTTCAGCTGTCAGCTGCCAGCAGGAGAGATGCTCCGTGCTGCCCTGAAACCCTGCCCCGCTGCTGCACAGAGTGCTTTTCGCTTCATTCAAAGCTTTATTCAGTTCAGAGTTTCTGAATATTGAATGTGCCACGTGTCCAAATTGCGCCATATTCGATGCTGCGCTGCCTTGGGTCCCCAGAAATACTCCCACCAAGTGTGTAGCCAAGTCAATAGGAGGAACAGTTGTAGAGAAAAGAATACACATATATACACACACAGAAAAATACCACTCAGTGAATCTCTCTATGACAGTGGAGGCAAAACATATGGATCATATTTCTATTTAAGTTGTCTCAGCAACACATCCTATAGCTCATACAACATTAGGTTGTTTCATGAGTATATGTATTTGTTTGGCACGTTTCCCACCAGACATTCGACCGTTGATATTTTCTTCTGCTGGACAACTACACGTAATACCGGCCAAAAGCCTGGGCCTTCATAACTTTACCAGTGCCTACTTTAACAAGCTGGGGTTTGGTATAGACAGTCTTGGTCATTCAACAACAGCACAGCCTGCTCTTTAATTCCGCATGTGTCAGCTGTTCAGGCCGGTGTTCGCTCAGTGCAGCACTGTTTGCTAGAGTGTTGTTGAGAAACGGTGGCGTCGCCATTCTGCTTGAATTAACAAGATCGATGACATACATGTGCACTGCTGTGGGACTGGCCTGGTTCGTAGGAAATTAGGTAATGTCAGACCTCTGCCATTGCTAAAATGGATGCAGTTTGCTTGCCTGGTTGTTAATATACTTTGCTGGACCACGCAAAGAAAGCCTTTGTGAGGGGAAACGTTGGTAATTGATTTCAGAAGTGATATTTTACTAGAAGCAGTGATTCATTACATCTTGTTTATATTCCATTAGCCATGGAAATTTCAATTGCATCCCCTTTACCTTCAGAACGTTAAGACTCATAATATGAATATATGAATACTGTTATATAAATTTGAAGTTGAATGTCTTGTTTGTCATTTCCTCCTGTAGATCACCACTCAGACATGATGGAGGTGGACAGGGACGTGGAGATCCCCCAGAGTAAAGCCATGGTCTTGAGGGGCCACGAATCTGAAGTTTTTATCTGTGCCTGGAACCCAGTGAACGACCTCCTCGCCTCCGGGTCAGTATTTCTACATCATCCCTCTCTCCCCCATGGGTTTCACTGGTCACGCAGTGTTTAGCATGGAAGAGTGTCATTTTTACAGGACAGTTATGTATGTATGTGTATTAGTTTCTTTACTTAATCACATTATTAGCTAGTTTACATTTAATACAAATGCTTATTTAATGACAGCGTTCAACCATAATTGAAAAATACACAGCAGCAACTGTTGGAATGAGTCCCTCTGGTCCTGTTTGTGGCAAAGAGTAGGTTTAACTTGCATGAATGAGGAAAGTAAGCTTGTTAAGTAAGTCCTTCCTCATTTATCACCTTAAACACATTTTTGTTGACTGAAGTTGTTTTTGCTGTGTCATTATCTTTCCCCAGATGAATGCGAGCATGCAGATGACTCTCTTCCCATGTAGTGTTTATTTAAGAGCAAAGCATATTTCGCAATATTACTGTGATGCTGTAAATGTGATATATTTTCCAGTAAGAGCTAATGACTAAAGGCTTATCGTGCATACTGACTGACTAAGCAGTTATTTGTTAACCAAGACCCTGCTGATAGATCAGTTGACTATGAGGGGGCAGCCTTAGGATCATGTTGGTTGTTGAGTGTACGAGTGTATTCTTGTACAACAGTTTGGTTGGTTAATGGTGGACTTGTAGTTCCACTGAGACGTCTGTTACAGTTCTGACATCTTTAGCAGTCTGCACTACTTGTGTTTTTGGCTTCAGCAAAACCGAACAGTTGGTCTCAAGAGTAGGGTTGGGTTCTGTAAACACTATGCACCTCTCAGCTGATTGGGCCAAACCACAAATATTCTATTTCACTGTATTCAGTTATTATTTTAAAATTTAAATGCCCAGCTTTATTAGTCCCCAGTTCAAACAAATCCTCTCATTGAAAGAACTATCTTATCCAATGATGACGTGTGTTTACGCCCCCCCCCCCCTTTACTTCCCAGTGTGTTTGTCAACATGACTCAGGGGAGATTCCTAAATTTCTGAGCTGTGATACAAATAGAAAAGAAGCTAAATATATGTGATGCACAACCTGGTCTGCCCTTTACAGCTTTCGCATCCCTTCAGATCAAACAGTAGATGCTGTGGACTAAAAATAAGTTATTTTTATTTTTAGATTAGTGTGAATTTGTGCATTAAATTCATTGCCCCTTCAACACCCATCCAAGGATATACCGACTTTAAAATGACCCTTACCCCTAAACCAAAATTAACAGTTAAGTGTTAATCCATGGCGCTAATTTCCTTCGCAGCACATAGATCGAAGCCTTTGTCAGTAAGATAAACTGATGTAACTTCATCATCTTTCTAAACTGACTGTAAATTGCCTAAATCAACAATTTAGTGCTCATTTATAAAAGTAGTCAGCACGAAAGAGGGGAGTATTCAACTAAATATAAAACAGTCCTGCTCCTAAGCATGGGCACACCCCTCAAAATGAAATGAACATGAAGAGAAATGCAATTACTTGTGGCACAGTCCTGTAATTTAAGAGGGGCTGCATCAGGGGCAAATGTCCACAAAAACCACGTAAAAGTT